GAATGATTGAAACTCATTTATGGAGCTAAATAGCTACATCCAGGGGCGGACTGACCATTTGGAAACTCGGGTGCTGCCCGAGGGCCCGAGGTCAGTAGGGGGCCCCATGAGATGCCCCTGGTACCTTTTTCATAGGCTTTTTTGAGTTTGGGCAAGGACACAGGGGCCCCATGATCCCCTATTGCCCGGGGGCCCCAAGAGTTGTCAGTCCACCACTGGCTACATCCCAGAATATGCAATCAATCCTAGCTTTAATTATCTACTCAGCCCATCAATTCCAACAAGTAGGTAGTCTGTGTGGTCCGAGAGGTATAATTAGTTTACATTCCAAGAAAGTTCTCGGGTAACAGTATAGGATCAGTTAAAAAAGCTAACACACCAGGATTAGGATCTTTATTTTTTTTAAAAGTGACAGTTATTTTCAGCAGAGCCCAATGAGATTAAAATATTACAATCATGTGACTAGTAAGAATCCTTATTCTAATGCTAAAGCTTTGGGAATTGAGCCTAAGCAATCAAATGATGCAAACATCATGATAGTAGGTTGTATGTTTTCTTATTGTAATGATAAGTGATTTTTAAAACTACTTATCTAATAAAAAAGCAAAAGTATTTTTGTAGAACCTTAACAGGTTCTCAATTTATTACAAACGATATTCTCAAGTTTTGTGCTGACATTACTGATCACTCATACTTCTTTATGAATGCTAATACTTTGCAGAATGAATTGAAATTTTGAGTTTACTAGTTTAAAATTAAAATGCATATCAAGGTAATGAATCGTTATTTACAAATGTTAGAATGCTATACTTTAAGTCTTTTAAATTCATTAAACATTCAAAACAGAAAATGAACAGCCATTTATTAATGCCATTACATAAAAATCTAACCAATAAATGATAATTAAACTTAAAAGATTATCCCTCGGGCTACAAAGAGACTTGTGATTCAGCTTTACATAGCAAAGCACCCTGGTTTCTGCTGCAACAAAAGGATTTTCAGATCTTGTGATCAGTAAAAATCTTGCAGTTATCCTGTGGGAAATTGTCAATTGTCAGTGTGGTATAAATGCTGGTCATGCCCTGGTTGTTCCAACATGGAAATCTTTTAGTGCTGAAATGTTTTGAGATATTGCATATTTAAGCTTTACTGAAAATGGCACATGTACGTACACTTTTACCATTTTTTTTACATTTTAAATTACACAGAAAATAAGCTAATGGCTGTAATTATAGTACAAACAGATAAACCGCATGCAGGAAATTATTTAAATGGAAAAGTACACCATCAATCTTGCTCATGTTACTAATAATAATAATAATAATTTATATATATATATATATATATATATATATATATATATATATATATATATGAAAAAATAATGACATAATGTAGCTCATTCCATAACTCTATGCAAACCATTTAGATTTTACTTCTCTGGAATCAAATAACTGAATAAAATGACCACTATTTGCCCCACATGTTAGGCTAAATTATCAACTCCCTTGGCAATAAAAGCAAGGGGTAATGCATACAAGGATTTAGGCTTAAAGTTCTTTTTTACATAAGGTTCATGATTAAGTGGTTGTGAGTGGAGAGATGCATAAGGGAACCAATGGTGATGAGAGTAGAAGGTCTACCTTAGAAAGCATTAGGCAAATCATTGAAAAAATCAAGTACTCACCTTCTCTGAGAAACAAAGGACCAGTGGCTATAGTTTTTAATATATATAATAAATACAGAGAAAGTTACTGCCACTTGTAATTTCCATTTGAGAAAAGGAAATCCAAATGTGCAATGAAGAATCATAAGTAAAACTAGATGCAACATGAGCAAAAGGACTTTTGCCAATAGCCAATTCCCGAGTGGCAAATATGTGGTGAATGATCAGAGAACCAATCATTCTCTGTGTAGACAGGCTCTGGAATAGTTTTTATCCTTGTGCACAGGTGTTGTGTACTTTTTAATGTGATTTATATTTTTATCAGAAATAAACATTTTAAATGAAAAGCACTATTAGTTTTAAATTTATATCTGAAGACTATATCTTTGCCCACCCACTAGTGAAGGAGATGGAGCGATAAACTAATAAGCTATTGCAGCCATCTTTTAAAGGAAAGGGGTGCTAATAGGACCTACTGTGCAGTGGAGGAGACAAGGTCGTGATATTGCATATATTTTCTTAAAGGGGAAAGGCGCCGTATAGATCTATGGTTAGCAGGTCCTACTGGTCAAGGTGAGAGTCCATCTTATTTATAAATAGGGAAAGGAACACAGGGTAATGGTGTATGTGTATCAGTATTTTCTATGTGGGATTCACCTAAAGCAACATATAAAGATTGAGCACTGAAGATCAAGATTACATGCTTTTGGATCACATTTTCAAAAGGGACAGTATCGATGACCGCTTATTCTCAAAACAACCCAGAGTTTCCGCAAATGGGAGAAAGACCTCCAGATCACTTTTACAGAAGGCTTGAAGAATAGGATACTGTTCTTTGCTTAAAAAGCCTCCATCTGCAATAAATATCAAGAGATATCTTATGTATGCGACTGGATGTTATAGGATGCCTTCAGTCCTGGACAAACTCTTTCAACAAACAGAATGGCCTGTGTTGGCGTTAAAGTGGTTGTAATGGCTCAAGGTCTTTTACCTTCATGCATTCTATGCATGAAGGTAAAAAATCTTCTCTTTGCAGCTTCCCTCAGCCCCTAATGCTCACCTAAGCCCCCTCTCGATCCAGCAATGTGCACAGGAGTCTTAGCTATCCTGGGACTCCCTCTCCTTATTGGCTGAGACAACAGCAGGATCCATTGGCTCCCACTGCAGTCATTGACAGCCAGTGAGCCAATAAGAGGTGGGAGAGGCCATGCCTCCATGTGTGCATGGACACAGGGAGCCACAGCTGGGGAGTGCACATGTCTGAGTGCCCCCCATAGCAAGCTGCTTGCTGTGGAGGCACCCAACAAAAGAAAGGGCCCAGGAGCACCAGTGGGGGACCCAAGAAGAGGAGGATCCGGGCTGCTCTATGCAAAACCACTGCACAGAGCAGGTAAGTATAGACATGTGTTTTTGTTTGTTTGTCTTTTTAATTTAAGCCTTTAGAATCACTTTAAGGTTCCCAAACAGGTTCCTTCCTTTACATCTTCTGGGAGTGCCTGCCATTACGGCACCTCTGGCAACCAGATTATTCAGCACATTTTTCCTGTTTGATGATCCTGAGGCTGTATTTCTTAACCTTACGTCTAGTAGTAGTAAAGTAGTACAAGAAATCTATGCTGATTCACCTATTGAATACTGATAGGGCATGTATCCCTAGCTCCTGGAAGATACCAAACCCGCTGTTTTTGAAACAATGGTTTGCCTGAGTGAATAACATTTGAGAGATGAACAAAAAAAATAAAACATTAGGTACAATTGGGAAGAATTTAAATGCTCCTCTGAATAATAGCAAATGCTCCAAGAGCCTATTTTCTTTCCATGCCTTTGTTTTGAAATTTCTAGATACCTGTAGCAATGGTTCTATATTTGCCTGAGTTTGTGGTGAGTCTGAGATAGTCTAATTCAGTGTTTCTCCACCTGCTTTCAGTTAAGGCACCCTTTACAGTTATGAACAGACTTGAGGCAACCTTTAAAATTCTGGACAGTCCCAAGGTACCCCATTCTAAAATGTAAAAACTATTCTGATAGTTTTACCTAATGCCCCAACAACACACACATAATCTTCTAAACAAATACACCTTTTCACACAGATACTAGCTAGTATTCCAGTATTCCTCTTCTCCCTCTCTTCTCTCTATCACTCAGCTAGAGTGACCCCATTACTGACAGAGAGGGGCAGGGGAGGGTCAAACAAGGATGCCGTGCAGGCGATCAACATCCTCCATATCAACTGATGGTATCATTGGTTGTTAGGAGGCTAGCAGCTAGAAGGTTGTACTGGTGCACAAGGAAAACCTACGGTTTTGTGTAACTAAAAGGCACACTTTATCCACCTGCTGGCTTGTATACAATTTTTAGGCAATTTTAGGCATTTTGTCAAGGCACCACTGAAGAAACTTCAAGGCACCTTGGTTGAAAGAGGCTGGTCTAATTCCCCCAACCACTTTTTTTTTCTCTCTTCCTCTCTTTCTGGACTTCCCTCAGGTTGGAGCCTGCACTTCCCCTTTTTCCTTTCTATTCCTTAACCTTACTTCTTTGTTATTTGCACTGGGAATTCTCTCCCGACATTTCATACTTTTTTAACCTTCTTTTTTGTTGCATACAAACTTTTTTTTTTATACACTGTCATCAGGCAGTATCCTTAATCACTGCCACACTAGTCATATGATGACACTGTACTGCACTGATGGCATTATGTAAAAAAAATGTGAACAAAAAAATTTTTGTTTAATTTCTTCATTTTCAAAAATATTGTAACAAAAAATAACAACTTCAAAAAACTTGCTGTGCCTCTTACTAAATACCTCAGACTATATACTTTCATAAAAGGGGTCATTTGGGGAGTTTTTTTACTGTCATGCATGTTAGGGCCTCAGGAAATTAGATAGGTAGTAAGTACATCAGGACTGCTCAATTTTCAAATATACTATATATACCAGTTTGTAGATGCTATAACTTTCACACAAACCAATAGATATACACTTATTAGGGTTTTTTTTTTTACCAAAGACATATAGAAAAATATATATTTGGCTGAAATTTATGAAGAAATTTTATTTTTATTGGATATTTTTTGTAACAGAAAGCAGAAATTAATGGGGTTTTTTTCAACATTTTTGGTCTTTTTTCATTTATTTAATAAAAGATTTAAAAAAACAGTGGAGATCAAACACCACCAAAGAAAGCCCTATTTGTGTGAAAGAAAATTAAACAAATTTAATTTGGGTACAGGGTTGCATGATTGTGCAATTGGCAGCTAAAGAAGCACAGTGCCGAATAACAAAAATTGGAAGGGGTAAAATTCCATTAAGCTTGAGTGGCTTTCATGAACATCTGTTTTGTACCATCTACCATACTGCTATGTTATGCACTGTTATTATACATGTATGTTCTCTGTTCAGGTGACCCTATACCGGGGCGGACTGACAATTCATTGGGCCCCCGGGCAATAGGGGATCATGGCGCCCCTGTGTCCTTGCCCAAACTCAAAAATGAAAAAGGTACCAGGGGCATCTCATGGGGCCCCCTACTGACCCCGGGCCCTCGGGCAGTGCCTGAGTTTCCAAATAGTCCACCCCTGCCCTGTACCTTCTGCACAGAATTTTTGCAGTTTGGACCCATTGGGTTTCTTAATGTGACCAGTGTTTGTTTCTTCCTGATTTGGTGAACCCTCACTTAAATAAATAATGTTTAAAAAAAAAGAGACAGGGACAGTATCATATAATACTGAAGAGTAGGACTATAATTAATTTCATGGACATACTATGGCGGTATGATGGCACTGATGTATTTTTTCACTAAGGTGATTATTTGTTGAATGTATGTTATGTTTTCAATACTAGTGAGCATTGAACTTAATTTTTGTTTGGTTGATCTATTGGTGTTAGAATAGCACATAAAGTGCTGCCACAGCACATATTTATTGACTTCATAAATGGTATTATGGTATTTTAGGGCAGGATGATATTTTTTATATAAATTTTACAAAAGAAAGTAATAAAACTAATTGTGTAATCCTCTCAGATTTTTTTCCATGTAATTGAACCATTTTGATAATTAAGCTAAATTGTGAGTTGGGATACACCGTTCATAAGAGAACAGGAAATTCGGAATTTTGCAGATATTTGAATGAATCTGTACATTTAGATTTGCAATCTATGAAGATTCAAACAATTCTTAACGCACCATCGCCTATTACTGGAATAAATGGTTCTTTGCAGATCAGATAAATCACAATGTAAACATTACAATAAATCTAAAATTTGCAGATTACTTATTCACCTAATTCGATCACCACTGTAAAACATTAGGCATGCCTACCACACACCAATCCAGCAATCTGTGCTTTAAATGAACACATTTGACATTTTCACCCAGTGATAAATCAGAGATGAATAGAAATCAACCAACTATATGCATCCTTAGCTCATAACCAGCTAAGAGGGACCACCCCACATTAAAGAAGTAATATAAGTGCATGTGAAGTGAAAGCATTGTTGAGGGTTTTGTTTCTAAACAATTATCTCTCTCCATGTATAGTCATCCTTAGAAGCAACTGTTATTTGCTTGACAACAGTAACACAAACACTGTAATGCAAATACAGTACAAAAAGATAGGCTGCTTACAATAATTTGGAGGTAGCCTTTTTTTTAATTACCATGCTGTTCTAAGGGAAAAAGACTTGCGCATTCAAATGAATTTGATATTCAATCAATGAAGATTAACTTGCCTAAGGTAAGATGGTTTTTACATTCATAAGGAAGTCAAATATGATTATGCATATGAAGAAATTCTACAGAGATGAGTAGAGTATAATATATGATAATTATTTGAAAGGATATACTTACTCACTGATTTGCATATCTAGAGGACCAGACAGAGATTGCAGAATGCAAAAAGGTAAAGAGATTCAGAGTTGAACGGTCCAGGAAAAAAACGTCTAGAAACATAGCGATAAGGTAAACTGTGTATTATAAACATCCTGTATAATCATTAGTATTACTACAATATTTATTCAATGAATCAAATATGTGTATGCTACAACAGATGAATTCAAAGTAATTTACATAATTCAAATGAGAGAAGAAAGGTCATGAAGGTTGTTTGATACTAAACACCTAGGGCTCGAATCCATTTGGTGTGAAGTGCTTTAAGAATGATTATTAATGGGATTTAAGCAAATGTCTGGTTCACTAATTTATTGAAAAGTTTAAATCTTAAAGGGAACCTATCATTTGTATTCTTTTATCAATACAAACAAGTAGTACAGATTCTCTACAGAACATAGGTATAGAAACCCTCATGTGTTTTAAAATATAATATATTTTATGAAAAAGATATACCTGGTGAATGGTTCAAGTATGTTTTTATAGGTCTTTTCACACGGGGCGAGTCCATTTAGCCGATCTGCTTGCTCACCGGGTGATCTCTCCGTTGATCCCTGCTGAGCAAGCGGATGACAGGTCTGTATCCACTCCTTTGCTGCAAAGTTACAAAGAGATGAAGGGTCTATAATTTTTATCATAGGTGTATTTTAAATGATAGAGACAGAATATCAACCAAAATCCAGAAAAAAACACACGATACAAATGTTATAAATTGCAGTTCAGAAAGTAAAACAAGTATTTGATCCCCTAACAACCAACAATAATTCTGGCTCCCACAGACTGGCTATGTGCTCATGTTTTACACAGGTTAGTCCTGTCATTTTAAAAAGGTGCTCCTAACGACAACTCATTATGTGTATAAAAGACACCTGTCCACAGAGTCTCTTTCTTCCATTCAAACCTCACCATAATTATGGCAAGACCAAAGAGCTGTCAAAGGACATTAGGGACCAGATTGTAGACCTGCCCAAGGCTGGAATGGACTACAAGACCATCAGCAAAAAGCTTGATGAGAAGGAGACAACTGTTGTTAGAGCAATTATTGACAAATGGAAGAAATACAAAATAACCATCAATTGCCCATGGTCTGGAGCTCCATTCAAGATTTACCTCATGGGGTAAGGATAATCGAGAGAAAAGTGAGGTATCAGCCCAGAACTGTATGGGAGGAGCTTGTGAATAATCTCAAGGTTGGAACCACACCACAGTCACCAAACAATCCACTGGTAACACAATACACCACAATACGCCACCATGGATTGAAATCCTGCAGCACCCGCAAGGTTCCCCTCCTCATGAAGGCACATGTATAGACCCATCTGAAGTTTGCCAATGAACATCTAAATGATTCAAAAAAGGATTGACAGAAAGTGCTGTGGTCAAATGAGACCAAAATTGAACTCTCTGGCATTAACTCGACTCACCATGTTTGGAGGAAGAAAAATGCTGTCTATGAATCTTAGAACACCATCCCTACAGTCAAGCACGGAGGTGGAAACATTATGCTTTGGGGCTGTTTTTCTATAAAAGGTACAGGCTGACTCATTAAGGGGCCAATGGACAGGGCCATGTATTGTAAAATCTTGGATGAGAACCTTCGTCCCTCAGCCAGAACACTGAAGATGTGTCATGGATGTGTCTTCCAGCATGACAATGACCCAAGACATACCACCAAGGCAACAAAGGAGTGGCTCAAAAGAGAAGAAGCACATTAAGGTCATGGAGTGGCCTAGCCAGTCTCCAGACCTTAATCCTATAGAAAATTTATGGAGGGAGCTGAAACTTTGAGTTGCCAAGCAACAGCCAAGAAACCTTAAGGATTTAGAGAAGATCTGTAAAGAAGAGTGGACCAAAATCCCTCCTGTGATGTGTGCAAACCTGATGACCAGCTACAAGAAACTTCTTCTTACCTCTGTGCTTGCCAACATGGGTGATGTGTGCAAACCTGGTGACCAACTACAAGAAACGTCTTCTTACCTCTGTGCTTGCCAACAAGGGTTTCTCCACCAAGTACTAAGTCATATTTTGCTTGAGGATCAAATACTTATTTTACTCACTTAACTGAAACTCAATTTATAACATTTGTATCATGTAAATTATTCTGGATTTTTGGTTGATATTCTGTCTCTATCTTTTAAAATACATGATATTACATGATTACATGATACGAATTATAGACTCTTCATTTCTTTGTAAGTGGGCAAACTTACAAAATTTGCAGGGGATCAAATAATTATTTTCCCCACTGTATGTCCATTCCTCAACGTATCCTGTGAGGCATAAAAAAGCAAATTTGAGCTCTTCCAGATTTAAATCCAGAAAAGCCAAGTGAGGGAGCAGACTGAGGACAGTGTGTCTTGTGTTATCAGCTACATTGTTCTTAGCTACAGTATCTCTGAGGATTAAAGAAGTAAGTGAGACCAATCTGGCAGACATTTACAATCACATGGCAAAAGAAAAAATCTCTACAGTTTTTATGAGCTAACTTACCTGCACTGATGTATGTCACACATTTGTAAGGCAGCTGGATCCTGTAGAAATAATCTGTGCAGGGATGCCATTCTTCTTCTTGACTCTGACTCTGGTTCTGTGATGATTAATAATTTTGGGTCTTTGAGCAGAACTGCTGTGAAAATGCTTCAAGGACTGCCTTTCCTCCTTCCTCCTTGAGAAAAGTTATTTCATTGATTACACTGTATGTAACACAATCTCTGAATGGGGGATAGCTTGGTGAATGAAATGATCCTCCCCCTTCACAGATTATGTTATATACAGTGTAAACAATAATATAACTTTTCTCAATGGAGGAGGTGAGAGGGAGGTCAGGTCAACATAGGGAGCTTATCATTGCTGTTCTACCAGAAGACTCAAAGCTGTTAATCAGCACACCAGCAGTTCAGAGACAGGAAGAGGACAGGCACCTCTGCATGGAAGATAAGTAGGTCACTAGAGTTGTTGAGGATTTTATTACCCAAACTATAGCTTTAAACCTTTTAAATTGAACTTAATGTTAGGTGTTTTGATTTGACTAAGTCACAAGTTAAATAGGGATTCTGTTTTAATAATAATAAATGTAAAAAAAAGTAAAAATACATGTATTTAACCTGAGCATTTAAATGTTGTCCCATATATAGCAAAATGTGTTTTGTTTTGTTTTTACGGTAAGGCTTGCATTTAAAAAAGAGTGGGTTTCTGTTAAGGGTGAGGTGGCATTTTGGGTGTTTCATTACTTTTAAGGATTTATTCATTTTTACATGTTAATAGGGCCTTATGGTTATGTTTCGTTCACACCAGTGGGATGGTGCACAGCACACCATCACATTGGTTAAAAGAAAAATTAAGTGCAAGAACAATGTGCACATGGCCCATACCACATAATATCAATCACATTAACTGCATCTCCCTGATCACCATAGTAAAAATAAAAGGCAAAGACTGGTTTGGCCTATTCTCTGTCCTGCCACTGGCCAACTTACACTTTATCATCTGTGGTCTTTTTATTTT